ACGAAGGTGTGTGGTTGTCGGGTCAGAATGTTGGTTACAGAATCAAGTTATTCCTTGTGAGTCAGTCGAGAACATCAGAGCACCTTTTTGAACTTGAAGTGTGGCCAGTGGCGCTAGGGAACGGAGTTTTAATGGCTCCTTTGAGCTAAATTTAAATAGCTGCTGGTTTAGACGCAGGAGCCATCTGCTTACTGAGTGGAAGAGTGGGCGCTCTCCTCCCTGCTTGCAGTCAGGTTCTCGTCCCCTCCTCCCCACTTCTTTTTGGGGTACATGTCCACGGTCAAATTTGTGTCTAAGGTGCACTGGTGGGGTCCCTGCTATATAATGGAGAACAATTTAGTTAAATATAAATATATTAAGTGACGATCTGTAGGCTGTATGGCTCTTTCTGTTTCATATAAGGATTTTTGTGCCTCACAGTTTTGACTGGTTGGCATCTGAAATAACTGCATTTTTGTGAGAAAATAATTAGGAGAAACCTGCTGCGGTTAATCCGTTCGATCAGGAGAGGACTCACTGTGACCTGCGGCCTGGTTTTGGGCTCGGGTATAACAGTGGCCCTGCCATTTGGAATGGTTGGGGGAGATTCAGGCTAGTCATGAAGTTCAAGTGTCAGTGCCGTGAAGATGGTGCTAGCGGGCCCGGCTATCTCCCTGGCTCACTGGGTTTCTGAGGCTGCCCTGTCCTAGGAAGGCAGACTTGAGTGTTGTGACTGAGCCCATCTGGCCACAAAGCTGAAATGCTCACCGCCTGGCCCTTCGCTTCCAGAAGAAGGTCACCCACCTCTCGCGTTTTTTAAGGCCTTTATGCAGAAATGGGAAGTTTACTGGAACGCCGGCCCCTCTGCTTCGGGAGGAAGTGTGCCAGCAGAGGGGGAGGGAGGGGACTGGGGCACTTGTGGGGAGTTGGAATAATGCACCTGTAGGCAGAGGGGTTTCTGAATTCAGGCGTACAGTTCAGAGCACCAAGGAGCTGGAGGAAACCCGGTGACGCACGGCATTTCCTGGACACCGGCAGCTCCCAGTTCCGTCGCCTTTGCACGAATGCGTCGCTGTGTGCCTTGGGGGGGTGGTGTCCTGTGTTTGTGAAGCTGGGCTTGAGGATCAGTGGGCACAGGGAACGGGACAGCAGCAATGCCCAGGCTCTGGCCCTGGCGCACCCTGGAAAAGTGACCGAGGTGCTGACGTTCGGAAACCTCTGGCGTGGCAGCACGTGGCAGTGCTCAGGACACTGTCCTCTCGCCAGTCACCAGAGTCACCAGCGATTATCTTCAAGGCAGAAGCAGCCCGAGAGCATGGCCCCCGCGCGGGTCAGAGAGGTCACCCGCGAGACCTTTCCCAAACGTGGCCCAGTTGTTGGACCGCGTGGGCCTGGGCTTGCTCCTCTGCAGGAAACTTAGAGAGCTCGCCGCAGCCCTGACATGGCGCTGACAGGCCTGCAGGGGTCTGGCCTGGAAACCGAAGGCTTAGTTGCTCCTAGTCTCACGCTCGTGTGAAAGTGCCGGCCTGACTGGGCTGTCAGTGAGTATTTGGAGGAATAAGGCTGATCATGACTCGCTGGATTTTAATTTTTCCTTTAAAGGGCTCAAATTTATACAAATGTTAATTTTTATGAATAGCTCATGAACACATTTGTTCAAAAACAGCATGGATTGGGACCTCAGTTGAGGAGTGGACTGCACAGAGGTTTCTCTGAGAGGAGGGGGGATCGAGCCCACAGAGCACTGAATGGTGGGGACATGAGCGCCAGGGCCTGGTCCCTGGGTGGCTGCCACTCTGACATCTAGAATGAGCCTCGGGGCGCACAGGCTCTGTGTCCGCAGCGGACCCAGGTGCCCGAAGCTGTTCATGGAGCGGCTGCAGCTCCAGCCAGCATCCCGGCAAACGCCAGCACCCCGGCAAACGCCAGCACCCCGGCAAACGCCAGCACCCCGGCAAACGCCAGCACCCCGGCAAACACTGCATCCCGGCAAACGCGCCGTGGACGGCCTGGGCGGCTTCTCTGGAGCTCGGCCCTGCGTTGCTCCCGGTCGGTTTTGCTCAGGTTCCTCCACCAGGACGGCCCCTCCTCCCGGGGCTGCTTCTCCGCCGCGGCCGCTCCGCAGGCCCTGGGAGGACGCCCTGCCTCATCGGGCCTTCAGCGCCAGCACCGAGGGATCGCCCCAGGTCCTGAGCATGTTCTCGTCAGTGCATTCTAGAAGGTTCCGCCTCCTCGGTCTTCTCCCTTGTCCTCTGCAGAGAAAGCTGTTTACGTCTTGCCTCTGGACAGCCCATTCCTGTGCCTTCCACTTTTGCCTTCTCTAGAGCAGGGGTCCTCAAACTTTTTAAGCAGGGGGCCAGTTCACTGTCCCTCAGACCGTTGGAGGGCCGGACTGTAGTTTAAAAAAAACTATGAACAAATTCCTATGCACACTGCACATATCTTATTTTGAAGTAAAAAAACAAAACGGGAACAAATACAATATTTGTATTTGCATGTGGCCCGCGGGCCGTAGTTTGAGGACCCCTGCTCTAGAGCCCAGCACAGTGTCTGCATATGGCGTGCCCACTGCATCCATCTGTAATTTTTTAAAATACATTTTTATTGATTTCAGAGAGGAAGGGAGAGGGAGGGAGGGAAGAAGGGAGGAAGAGAGAGAGAAAGAGAGAGAGAGAGAGAGAGAGAAAGGGAGAGAGGGAGGGAGGAACATCAACGATGAGAGAAAATCATTGATTGGCTGCCTCCTAAATCCCTCCTACTGGAGATCGAGCCTCAACCCGGGCATGTGCCCTTGACCGAAATCAAACCCGGGACCCTTCAGTCCACAGGCAGACACTCTGTCCGCTGACCCAAACCAGCCAGGGCTCAGTCTGTAATTTTGATCGTGAATGAATTACAGAATTTTAGCTCTGAGGGACTTTGGTCAATTTACCACATTTGCTTGATATATTTATTGTTTTGGGATTTTTTTTTTTTTGAGCCACTGGCAACTTCTAAGAGAAACTAAAGGCATAGTTCGTGTTTTCGTGTATGGATTTTTCAGAGCAAAACCAGAATTGCTTATAAGTGAGGCGACAGCCAGGCCTGGTGCCATAGCTGTCCAGGTGGGCATATGGAAAGCAGCCGGCTTCGCTGGTTGGCTAAATTGGATGTGAACATAGTTCAATTTAAAGGAAGGTTCTTTAAATGGAATTTCTTTTAAATGGGTTTTCCTGGCAGGATGCAATATTAAGTTCATTAGTTCTCAAGTTAAAATATCTTCGCTAAAATATGGTTTTCTTTTGCACAGTACAAGCTTTTAATGTCAAAACTGCATTCAGAGGTTGACGAAAAAGCTGAAGGCACTGTTGCCAAGCTCCCAAATTGCAGGTTCAGAATCCCTTTTGAAAGACGAAGAGTGGGCGAAGAAGGTGGGAGGAAGCCGAGTTACCCAGAAGGCAGCTCTCCTCTGGGGGCCGGTGGCGGAGGCCCTCGTCTTGTTTCGTTACTGGAACACTTGCTGCGTTGCACAGAGACGGAGCAAATGGCTACAAGAGTTATCGCTCTCACAAAAGTCACGTTTCCTTTTCAGAGGAGACGTCGCAGGCCATTTCTCCCTCTGCTAGCTCACTGCTGGGAGAGTCCATTGTGTTTGGCCTTTTCTTGATTTCATAAATGTGAGTGTGACGAGGAAATGACCTGGTGACATTGCAGATAGTTGGTGGGGAAGGAGCACTTGGAAACGAGGGCCCCTCTTCTGAGCGGGGATAGGAGGCGCCTCCTGGGGGCTCTCAGTGCGGAGGGAGAGTGGGAGGCTGCGGGGTGGGCTCTGCGGCCCAGGCAGGGTTTGAAGATAGGGGAGCTTCTCCTAGAAACCTGTGTGCTTTCGTTCCGTCGCCTGCACGGGTGGCGCCGAGTGAACTAGTCCGGTACCTGTGTGCATTTCCCACGAGTTTGGATGAATTATATATAGCAAGTCTTTCTTTCTTTAATTAAATAGTTTGTTCCAAGATAATTGTAGGTTCACAGTGCACGAGCATTGTTCACAAGCAGGGATACGGAGAGGCCCACGCTCCCCCCGACCCCCGCTGCCCTCAGTGGAAGCATCTGGAGAAGCCCAGCACATCTCCACAACCAGGGCAGTGGCGTAGGTGCCATCAAGACGCAGAGCCTTCCCACGTGCGCCCCGCCGCCCTCCTCTCTCCCGCCTTCGCCCTGGCAGCCACCAGCATGTTCTCTGTTGCTATAATTTTATCACTTCAAGAATGTTACAAAAATGTTTACATCTGTGATCCATTTTGCCCTAGTCGGTTTGGCTCAGTGGATAGAGTGTTGGCCTAAGGACCAAAGGCTCCTGGGTTCGATTCCGGTCAAGGGCACATACCTTGATTGCAGGCCCCTCCCTGGCCCGGGCCCTTTTATCGATGTTTCTCTCTGTCTTTCCTTCTCTCTTACACACACACACACACACACACACACACACAGAAATCTGTGATCCATTTTGAGTTAATTTTTATAGTTTTGGGGGGTTTTGGCGGAGGCCCGTTTTTTGCCTCTGGGTGTGCCGTTTTGCCAGTGATTTGTTGAAAGGCTAGTCTTCCTCCGTTGGATTGCTGTGCACCTTTGTCAAAAGTCATTCGGGCCTGTTCGTGTGGGTTAGTTTATGGCTGTCCTCTCTGTCCACTGAGCTGCATGTCTGTCTCTCTACCAGTCTCAGACAGTGAGCCTGAGTACTGGGTGCAGCCATTCCTCCCAACTCACTCCTTTTCAAAAGTGTTCCGTTCTTTTGCCTTTTCATGTACATTTTAAGATAATTAAGTGGGGAGCCACAAATAAAAACCTAGCTGGGATTTGGATGGGATCCTGTGAAATTTCTGTGTCCACGTGGGGAGAATTGGCCTCTACCGTGTCAAGCCTTCCAGGCCCTGAAGAGCACACACAGAAAGTTCCCCCCTCTCAGTGGGAGCTGGAGAGGTGAAGACGCGGACGCTGTGATGTCCGTGACCACCCCATCACCGCTCTTTCTCCACATGTCTCCCCAGGCCTACGAAAGGAGGTTCCCCACGTGCCCGCTGATCCCGATGTTTGTGGACAGTGACACTGTGAATGAATTCCGGAGTGAGGACGGGGCCATTCACATCATAGAAAGACGCTGCAAACTGGACATAGACGCACCCCGGCTGCTGAAAAAGGTGACCGCAGGCCGAGGAGGCGCCCCGAACCTAAGCGAATCACGCACACCACCACTGCTGCTGCTGCGACTGGGCGGTACTAATGCATCCTTCTCTCTGTTCTCTTTTAAAGATTGCGGGAGTTGACTATGTTTATTTCGTCCAGAAAAACTCACTGAATTCCCGGGAGCGCACTTTGCACATTGAGGCCCATAATGAGACGTTTGCCAACCGGGTCATCATTAAGGAGCACTGCTGCTACACTGTGAGTACCCGCTGTCCCCTCCGCCGGGCTGTCCCCTCCGCCGGCTGTCCCCTCCGCCGGCTGTCCCCTCCGCCGGCTGTCCTCTCCGCCGGGCTGTCCCCTCCGCCGGGCTGTCCCCTCCGCCGGCTGTCCCCTCCGCCGGCTGTCCCCTCCGCCGGGCTGTCCCCTCCGCCGGGCTGTCCCCTCCGCCGGGCTGTCCCCTCCGCCAGCTGTCCCCTCCGCCGGGCTGTCCCCTCCGCCGGGCTGTCCCCTCCGCCGGGCTGTCCCCTCCCCCGGCTGTCCCCTCCGCCGGGCTGTCCCCTCCGCCGGCTGTCCCCTCCGCCGGCTGTCCCCTCCGCCGGGCTGTCCCCTCCGCCGGCTGTCCCCTCCGCCGGGCTGTCCCCTCCGCCGGGCTGTCCTCTCCGCCGGCTGTCCCCTCCGCCGGGCTGTCCTCTCCGCCGGGCTGTCCCCTCCGCCGGGCTGTCCTCTCCGCCGGCTGTCCCCTCCGCCGGCTGTCCTCTCCGCCGGGCTGTCCTCTCCGCCGGGCTGTCCCCTCCGCCGGCTGTCCTCTCCGCCGGGCTGTCCTCTCCGCCGGGCTGTCCCCTCCGCCGGCTGTCCTCTCCGCCGGGCTGTCCTCTCCGCCGGGCTGTCCTCTCCGCCGGGCTGTCCTCTCACAGGCTGCCCGCCTCCCGCGGCGGGGAGCAGGCGCGGTTACTCAGAGTGCAGGCGGCAAGTGCTGCTGGTCTGTGTGTGGATTTGCTTTACGTGCCTGCTTTGCTGGCCCACTCTGACCTCAGATGTCTGTTGAAGGTCACGACACTGGGACCTCCGAGAGTGGCGCCGAGCGCATTGATTGCCCTAAGCTTCACGCTGACCACCGTTTGCAGAACTTTTCCTCCCAGATCGCTAGAATAACCTCCTGGGTCTCCCGCGTCTCCCCACCCTCCTATAGAAGCAGCCCTGAGTCCCGAGCCACCCGCCGACCGTGTGTCAGATCACGTCACGCGGGCCCAGAACCCAGCAGGGACTCGGCTTTGCGCTCAGAGGTCGCACCTCTGCTGCCTGCCGGCCTCGTGCACAGCCCCGCTCCGTCTGCTGTCTGCTCCTAGGCGGGCCTCACAGGCCTCCTCCTCCAGCCTTTGCTGACCGCCCTCCCTGATGAAGCCAGCCCTGAATATTTTAGAAATAGTGCTTTGGTCTCCGTGATTTTGACCCTCTCCGTAATTTTTCCATCTGCTGCTTTCATGATAATCACATGATGAGTAAAATAGGTTTTTGCTTACACTGACTAGTTGATTGAGGGGCAGACATGATATTCTCAGTTGTCAGTTAGTTAATGCAGTTCTTTCTCAATCTGAAGGTTCACCCTGAAAATGAAGATTGGACCTGTTTCGAACAGTCTGCAAGCTTAGATATTAAATCTTTCTTTGGTTTTGAAAGTACAGTGGAGAAAATTGCAATGAAACAATATACCAGCAACATTAAAAAAGTGAGTCTGTCTTGGAGTTTTATGGAAAAGGGTGGGCAGGCATCCCTGGGATGATTGGTGCTGGCGGGCTTTCTGCGAGGCTGGGAATGGGGTAGTCAGGAGTCCCAGCCATTTCTCTCGGGGACTGCTCTGACCTTCCCCGGGCCTTGGATCCTTAGGAGTGGGAGGCGTAGGTTGGGGTGCACAGAATGCTGGTTGCCAATGAGGTGAGGAGGAGCATGTGGCCAGGGGCCATGCGTTCTTGGCTGGGACTTGTTGGGAAGGTGAGAGTTGGGGTGAGGCAGGAGCAGCTCACTTGCAGCAGCAGCCCTGGTGCCCGCCAGGATCTGCGGCCCGAAGTGCTGCAGCCGGAAGAGGCACCTCCCAGGCGTGCTCAGGGGTCCACCTTGGGTCGTTGGCTCATCTGCATGGAAGAACTTTCCTTCTCTTCTTTTTTTTTTTTAGATACAATTTTTAAAAAACATATTGTTACTGATTTCAGAGAGGAAGGGAGAGGGAGGAAGAGAGATATAGAAACATCAACGATGAGAGAGAATCATTGATCGGCTGCCTCCTGCATGCCCCCTACTGGGGATCGAGCCTGCAACCCGGGCAGGTGCCGTTGGCCGGAATCGAACCTGGGACCCTTCAGTCCAGAGGCTGATGCTCTATCCCCTGAGCCAAACCGGCTAGGGCTCCTTCTCGTTCTTTTGCTGCTGTTTCTTATTGTGGAAGTTTGGTTTTGAGCTCACCAATATGGGGTTCTGAATGCTTTTGAAGGCTTGTTTTATTTTGGAAAGAATTTGGATTGAGACACAAAGCACGTACTGAGTACAAGTGTGGTAAAGCAGTGCTTCTAATTAGTCATAAAGATTCTGTCTCTTTAGACATCACTTCGTAGACCTTTGGAGAAGAGGAAGTAAAATGTGAAAAACAAAATGCAGAGGCGTCTGACTTCCCCGTGTACTCTGCAGCAGTGCGGCTTTGTCAGTGTTACAAAGGCCTGTGAGGCCGAGCGATTTCCATGTCGAATGCGCGCTCACCTGACACCGGTTTTGTTTTAAAGGGGAAGGAAATCATTGAGTACTACCTTCACCAGTTGGAGGAGGAGGGCATCACCTTCGTGCCCCGCTGGACTCCGCCGCCCCTGGCGCCCTCTGCGGAGACGGCCGCGTCGTGCAGGAAGCGAGCCGCGTCGCTGGCCTCCGTGGCCCCAGAGGCTGCGCAGAAGGAAGGGCTGAGCAGCGAGGCCCTCAGCAGCCCCAGCGGGGCCTCTGAGCCCGCCGCGGGGACCCCCGACGGTGGGTCGCTTCCTCTCCGGTGACTCTGCCTCTAGTTCCCGTAGGACATTAGACGTCACGTAGGAGGAGACGCAGCTCTCGCGGGCCCCCTTCCTCCAGCTTCCGCAGCACTTCATCGAGGTGTCTGAGTGAAGACACGCAGTCTGTCTTCAGTGGGCGGAAGGGTCACGTCAAGTTATGACACCAGAAATGTCTTCCACTTACTGTAGCTGATCGCATCTTCAGTGAACGCAGGGTGGCACCTACGGCTTTAGCACAACTCTGCGTCGTCGCTTTGCGCTCACTGTGCCGGGCCCTGTCCTAAGCTCTCTGTGAACCCCTTTCACATGGGCCTGTGGGGCGGGAGTGCTCCGCGGGCCACCGAGGTGCGGAGGCACCTGCGTAGAGTCACACAGCTGTCCGTGGCTGTCTCCGAGGCTGGTCAGCTGGGCTGTGCGTGTGCACACACTCACACACATACACACCTTTCTCATTTCTCAGAGTGAAGCCCATTGTAAAATAAGAAAATATAAGAAAATTCTACCACTGGGGAGCCTGTGAAACTGCTGATATTTACCTTTCTCTGCGCCTTTCTCTGAGCTGAACGAGGCCGTTTGCTGCTTTCAGCAGGTGGCAGGCGTTTCCCCGATTGGGGCTACGTCCTGTTTTGCACCTTGTGAATTTTTCTTCGCTGTGCTTAATTTTCTACCTCATTTTTGCAGTTTATGCTACCTTAGCATTAAAGAGATTTCTTGTCTTCTTGAACACAGCTCTGTTTAAAACAGGTTTAGATCCATTTGTTGCATTTCATAGTTGTAGATCATGTAAGTTCTCTTTATATAACTTTTAATGAAAAGTCATTAAATACCTGTACTAGCCATTATTCTGCCATGAATATTGAGATTTTGCAAATCGAGGGGACGTGCTAGTAACTAGGGAACAGAATAGATCCATCTAGTCACCTGGGGCTGGGTCAGGGATTAGGTTTTAAAGGCTGCCCTCCAGGTGTCCTGGGGTGGCCTGGTTCCCTCTGGAGTCCCTGAGTCCCGAGACTGGACCACACGTGGCTTCACGGAGCAGGGCCCTGTGGTACCGGGGTTCCGGGGCGCCTGTTGTAACGGATGGCATGTGACTTCCGTTGCAGACAAGCTGGACGCAGACTACATTAAGAGGTACCTGGGCGACCTGACCCCGCTGCAGGAGAGCTGCCTGATCCGGCTGCGCCAGTGGCTCCAGGAGACCCACAAGGGCAAAGTGAGCATGGTCGCGCGTGCTGGGGGGAACCGTGGGCCTGGTCTCGCCCACCATTGCTCAGTCACTGTCCCGCCTACCACGGCTGGGGCTGCCCTTCCAGCCTAAAGTCACGCCTCGGGGTCCAGTGGCACCTGCCCCTGGCAGGCTGTGTGCCCTTTCCTGGGTGTCACAGAGCATGGTCTCGCTAGAAAACAGTGACCCGTCTACAAGGCTTGGAAGGAGTTCACAGGCTGTTCAGAGATGAGAAATGTCTGAGCTTTGGTTTTGAAGTTTTTGGTAGGTTTGGCCTCATAAGGAATCAGGTTTTATAGTAAGCCTCTGACTGATGGGTCTGGAGCGAGCAGAGGCGCGTTTGTGTGTCTAGTCGCCCTGGCATCACTTAGTAAAGGGAACCCAGGGACCCTTCAGTCCGTGGGCCGATGCTCTATCCACTGAGCCAAACCGGCTAGCGCCAGCCCACTCGTGATACGAAGTGAGCGTTTGAGAGTCTTGCCCTTGGTAGCTTGTGTTTTTCCGTAGCAACTTGCAGCATCGCTTGCTTACAGCACCTCTTCTCTCAACAGATCCCCAAAGATGAGCACATTCTCCGGTTCTTACGCGCCCGGGACTTCAACATCGACAAAGCCAGAGAGATCATGTGCCAGTCGCTGACCTGGCGCAAGCAGCACCAGGTGGACTACATCCTCGACACCTGGAACCCGCCCCAGGTCCTGCAGGACTACTACGCGGGAGGCTGGCACCACCACGACAAAGGTAGCGAGGGGCGTGCACGCAGGACGTGCCGGGAGGGAGACCTCCTCCCACAGAGCGAAGTGGGCCCTGAGGGCCTCCTCCCGCCCCGCCCGCCGCCTGGACACATTGATGCCCATGTCATCACAGCAGCATCGCGCTCCTAAGCCACCGGGAAAGGCCCAGAGTCTGAGGAAGGGCCAGGCCCTTTGCTTCCCCCTCAGGCCTCACGGTGCCCTGGCAGTCACTTCCGTTCCTCTCTGAATTGCGTGGAGTTTTGGGACGTGAAGCCAGAGGCGGAGGGCGGCTGTGAGGAGCACAGTGCTGGTGGGGGCGCGCCTGTGAGGGTGCACAGCCAGGTTCCACCCCCGGGCAGGGGAGGGTGGCAGCTCTGGCTGGGGGAGGAGCAAAAGCAAGCCGAGGACAGTGGCCACCTAAACGCGGCGTGAGTGGGAGCCCCTCATGGGCTGCTTTACCTGTCACGCCTGTGGGAGAGCTGCGTTGTCACGGGCAGCTCCCTGTTCCCCGCGGCGCCGCCCCAGGCCGCCCGGAACTCCCCGCCCCCCGGCCGGTGCCTCTCACCCGAGCAGCTCGGGCGGCTCCCTTCCCTGACTTCCCTTTCCTGCCGCTCAGGCTAAGTGTTGCTTACTCATGTCACTGGAGTTTATGTCTATTCCATTTGTGGCCCTCAAAGATGGGAAGGCTTGGTGGAAGACACTGACAGATGGATCCCATTGGTCCCGGGAGGGCTGATAAATCTTCCTTCAGCAAGACTAGGGAGCACAAGGCCCTCTTTGCTGAAGGAGATGCAGCAGATCTAGACCACATCTCCCAGGACGTGCCGTTCCGGTGGGGTACAGGGAACAGTGGCCCCGGGTCGGGTGACAGCGCTGACCCTCTTGGACAGCAGGAGGCGTCTTGGTGTCCTCTCAGCAGCAGCGCTGCCTTGTCCTCCGCTGCTGTCCTGCGGCCCCAAGCAGAGGGGCTCGGACCGCTGGGGACACTGGCCATCAAGGCCATTTCCGTCTGGGTAGCTGGCTCCTGTGACCCAGTGCGTGAGTCCTCCCAGGCTCCATGCATGAGGCCTCCCGCTGTGAAGAAGCAGAGCCGGTGTGTGCTGGTTGTTAGGGGTTTACGATTCCACGAAGTGCTCCGTTACCCCGGTTCTCAGGGCGGGAAGGGAGGGAGCCGGCTCTCCCAGACCCTGACGTTGCGTTGTCGGTAGCCTGTGAAGGAAGAAGCACAGGGCTGCTCACAGGAAAGCTGTCTGAGGGGGATGCCCTGCCGCTGAGTCAGTCCTGTTTGTGACGTGAGCCAAGCCGGTGCCCAGGGGCCGCCCCTCGTCCGTGCAGACCTGTCACCACCACCAGCTGAGCTGCTCTGTCGGCGGCTTTTGTTTCCCTTTTACCATCTTTTGGGAAGAGATTGGGGGGCTCCTGTACACACGGAAGCTGCTTCTCAGGGGGACAGGGCTTGAAGCTCGTCCCAAGTCCGAGGGCACGTTCCTCATCGGCCTCGCACACCCAGCGCCACGTGTAATCACCTGCCTTCCTCCTGCAGACGGGCGGCCCCTCTACGTGCTCAGGCTGGGACAGATGGACACCAAAGGCCTGGTGAGGGCCCTCGGGGAGGAGGCCCTGCTCAGATACGTAAGTGCTCGGCCGGCGCCCGGCCACAGCGGGATTGGGATGTTACAGTCCTGTGACAGCAAGCATGTGTCGCTTTTGTCATCAGGAAGGAAAAGCCGTTAGTATATGTGAAAATGTCAGAGGCGGGCACAGAAATTATAAAAACGTTTCTCACTGGGAAGCATTGACCAAAAGGTCACCATAAGCACTCGGATGGCCACTGGGCCTGAGTCCGCGTCCTCTCTGACCTTCACCCCGACTCTCCTTCCGAGATTCTGTCACTCCCGACGCTTCACAATGGTCTTCCCACTGGCTCCGCCTCGGTCCGGGCTCCTGCGTCTTTCACCTGAATAGACCTCGGCCTGCCGCTGCAGCCTCCACAGTGGGCAGTTATGAGGAGAGGAATACGATCCGTCAATCAAAAAAACAAAACTTTAAAGGCACATCCACATCCAGTGATCCTAAAACATCCACTGTTGGCATTTTATTGTGGACTCTTAGCCCGCCTGTGTGTGCTTATACGAGCGTGCAAGCACATCCACACGCGCGCGCACACACACACAAAAAGATAGACCGTAAAGACATGATGGGCCGCTTGTACGGGGGGTAGGTTTGTTATCCAAACAGCGTTCCCTCTGGCCGTGCTCCCTGTCAGCCTGACACCGTCCTTTCCCTGGGCTGGTAGGTGTGGTGTCGGCCCCCACTCGGCAGCCACTTACCCCCACAGCAGGCACGCCCTCCTGTGACCCCACTCGGGGTTCTGTCCCCCGCCACAGAGGACCGCGCTCACCTCTCCAGAGGGAGACTCTGTCGGGGATAAGCTGTGTGTGCGCAGAAAGCCTAGCAGTAGCGTCACCTCCTAGACTGACAGAGTTTCCGTGGTCTCTTATGCGTAGGTCCTCTCCATCAACGAGGAAGGGCTGAGACGCTGTGAAGAAAACACCAAAGTCTTCGGCCGGCCCATCAGGTAGACGCGCGGCTTTGTTTTCCTTCCAGCTGATGGAGCCTCTGACCTAAATGTTCCCGGTTGATTCTTAGAACCAAGTCTAAATAGTGTTCTGAAGGTTGACAGTGAGCATGTAGGTGGCCGTCAGAGGGGCGGTGCTGGATTGGGTATTTCTAACCCCTGGGCGTTGCCGTCCCTCATCTCAGGGGCGTGGCCAGGCTGGCTAGTCTACATGGTCCTTGAGAGCCCAGGGTTGCAGGTTAGGGTTAGTCTGGGTTTTTTAAAAAAAATTTTTTTGGAGGGGTGGGGGGCGAGCTTCAAAAATTAGTGCGTGCTCCTCAATCCTACTGCTAGTTCCGGTGAACTGTTACCTAAGTGCAGGATTGAGAGGCTGACCGGGTGCAGGCAGCGTTCCCGCCGCAGCCTCAGCTCCGAGAAGCACTGGCTCCGGGACACTCGGAGAGCTCACCGCAGCCGCCGCCGCCACCCCAGTGCAGACCAGCCCAGGGTCATCGCAGCTGGTGCCCTACTTGCTGGTCGCTGAGCACGTTAGGCCGAGGGTCAGGCATTGGCCGTGAGCCACTGGTGCTCGGGAGTGCAGGGCTGGTGCCCCACACTGACCCGTGTGCCTTTACAAGCAGGTGCAAGTCTAGTTCACAGCACTGTCATTCTGAAAACGGGCATTTTTTGGAAATGGATAGAAATGACTGTGTTATAGTATCAAGAATACAGAACAATAGCTGTGGGATCCCATGGCCGATGTGCGTCTGGAATAACGCGTCTGTGCCCGCAGCTCGTGGACCTGCCTGGTGGACCTGGAGGGGCTGAACATGCGCCACCTGTGGAGGCCCGGCGTCAAGGCCCTGCTGCGCATCATCGAGGTGGTGGAGGCCAACTACCCCGAGACGCTGGGCCGCCTGCTGATCCTGCGGGCCCCCCGCGTGTTTCCTGTGCTCTGGACGCTGGTGGGTGGGCGCTGTTCCGGCAGCTGCTACATCTGCGAGGCACACACCACGCAGTCATATTCACGCGTCTGTGACTCCCAAGTCCTGGCGAGTTAGAAAAACCAAGTGGTCGTGAAAGACATAACAGTTCTCAAATTGTTTAGGGGAAGAAAGGGTTCCTGAGTGTCCCAATGCCAGGCAGACGGACTTTACCAAGTGTATCAGACTCACACTCCCTTCCTCCACTCATGGTGTCACCTTGTCACTCAGCCTCTGAAAGCCAGACGGCCCAGCAGAGGTGACTGCGCTTTCTCTCTGACAGGTCAGCCCGTTCATCGACGACAACACCAGGAGGAAGTTCCTCATCTACGCCGGGAACGACTACCAGGGCCCCGGGGGCCTGCTGGACTACATCGACAAGGAGGTCATCCCCGACTTCCTGGGCGGGGAGTGCATGGTGCGTGCACGGCAAGTCCTGCCCATTCGGCTACTCACAGGGAGGGGGCGTGGTCTGCACAAGTGGTTTTCAGAGTCTTAGTCTGGATTGTTGGGTTTTGGTTCTGTTCTTTTTGGCTGGCATCTCTGATCCACCGTTTAGGTAATCTTTGGTAACGTGCACATTTCCTCCTTGTTACGCTAATGGGAGCTTGCTGTAGAGGCTAATCTAATTGCATCTTGCTTATTCCCTCCGCTTCGTGTGAGTCAGATGTTCGTTCATTTTGTTCATTAGATTCCCCTATGAGTGAAATCATGACGTGCTTGTCTTTCTGAACCAAGTTTCTTAGCTGTTTTGGAGGAGCTGTGTGTTTTCTTAAAACACTATTAACAAAATCAACGTTATTTTAAAAAAGATTTCCCCATTGATAATAAATCAGGATGACATTTTAAAGAGGACAAGTCAAGGGAATTCCCACTCTTTCCTGTAATTTCGGATTTTTAATGCATTGAGTTGCTCCTCCCCTTCTGTGCCCTGCGCTGTGAGGAGGGAATCGGGATGTGATTCCCTGAGGACCCTGCAGCCACTGGGGCTCCCTGCCTGCGTGAGGGGGGAGGGCGCCGCAGCTGCAGAGGCCCAGGGACCAGGAGAGGGCGTGGCTTCGGGGGTCAGGCTCTCATTAGAGAAAGGTTCTCATCCTTCCTCGTGGAGAAAGGTGTCTTCAAGGTGGGTACACCTGGCCTTGACGCATGTGTTTAGCTAATGAGTTGGGGTCTAGGAAAATCTTTCTGGATGGTGAGAGGAATTTAAGCAGCATTCACATTCCGCTCCGAGTTCCTCAGTCCTGCCGTAGGGAGTGGCAGGTGTACCACGGTGCCGTGCAGGGGCATGTCAGTTACAGGGCCCGGACTTCCCCGGGGCCCGTGACCTCGCCCTGAGGTCAGATTTGCAGAAGCCCACCAGCGACCCGTGTTCCGTGAGAGGACCGTCAGGCGGTCGCTCCAATGAGGAGCTCGTGGGAGCAGAAGACGACTCACGGCCGGTGGGGCCTCGTGTCACCTGACCACCGTGCTGCGTTCAGATGGGAGGTCCTCGAAGCTGGTGGAGGCCGCCAACTGGCCTTCGAGCTTCCTCTCTGCTCTCTGCGCTTCTGTCCAGGCTGGTGTGGAAGAGGCGGCACTCACCTCGTTCTGCTGCACAAGAGGGTTTAACCGTCTCTAACGAGTTACATCTCTAACGAGACATCATGGCTATGGCAGGTGTCCGTCATGCTTGTTCCTGTGGTCGCCTCCCGGCACTGATTACACAGGAAGCACGTGTGGTGTGAAGGCACGGTATCGAGGTGAATTAGGAAGCTTGCGAAATGCACAACTTCCATTCAGGACAGCCTCTTGCAGGCAAATCCCGAAGAAGCGCCCTCTCCCGGGAAGCTGTCCGCCATGAGTGTTTGGCTGAGGTTACGGCTAGTCGGCTAGTCATTTGACTTGCGGTAGACGCGGAGCTTTCGTCATTGATCACGGGTCTTGACCGTAATTACATGGATAAAAGCAGTGCCTGTAGCTGCTGAGAGGAAACCCCTTTTTGTGACGTCACGCTTTCCCTTTAGGTGCAGTGTAAACGCTTGTCACCTCACATACACCCGCCGTAGTGAGTCCAGAGCCTCAGACATTAGTGTGAATTCCGTGGTGAATCAGCTTCCACTCGTTCTCCTTTACTTCAAGCAGGAGGGTCCGTCAGGGGGGCGGGAGTCCGTGGCCAGGGGCTGCGGCTCTCGCACCGCCAGCTCCGCTCCCCCGCAGCTCCAGCTCCGAGGCGCTGCCAGGCATGGTCGGGTCAGACGCTGTTTGCTTTGCAGTGTGAAGTGCCGGAGGGCGGGCTGGTCCCCAAGTCCCTGTACCGGACCGCGGAGGAGCTGGAGAACGAAGACCTCAAGCTCTGGACCGAGACCATCTACCAATCCGCCAGCGTCTTCAAAGGAGCCCCGCACGAGGTGCGCCCCCCCCCCCGGGGGGTCCGGGTCCTCCCCAGGCGCAGGTGGGAGAGGGGAGAGGGGCGCGGGTGCTCTCGGGGCTTGGTCTCCAGACGGTGGCGGAGCAGGCGCCGCAGCATCGCGGGAGCCGCGCGGTGGGTCCCCTCCCGCCCGCTGGCCGCACGGAGGTGGACTCCCGGGGTTAGTCTGCCTAGGATTACAGGTTCATTTCCTGTGTTTCATTGGCGGAGTTTGGTTATTTATATTTTAAAAGGAATTTCCCCATTTTTGTTAGCCTAGTGGAGTGAGGAGAAATTTCCCCTCTTGCGCCGCGTTGTGGTGCAGAAGCAGCCTGTCTCTCACACGCACTGTCCTGCGACGCCGTGGGTGTGCGGCCCTCACAGCCAGTCTCCCTCCCTGAGCCCGGCGCGAGGCTGCTGGCTCGGCCGCTTCACTTCCGCTTTGGATCTGCAGCCACACACACACCAAGGACAGCGCTGTGCCTGAAATGAGGCTGATTAAGTGCCCACTGTGAAGGCTGGAGAGGGGCCCATCAGCTGAGAGCTTCGCCCTGGGAGCCCCTGGGGGAGGGGGGGGGCAAGTCCTTAGGGCCACCGCTGCTCTTAGACATGGCCCTCGTGCTTTATGGATCTGCTCTCTAAGGAACTTCCAAAGCGGTGTTTTGGCAGCGAGAAGGGGCAGTGGGGCAATTGAAGACAGCAAAGTGCTAAGACGCCACGCAGAGGGAGCTTGTGGGGGCGCTTGTGGGGGCGCGGGGGAGGGGCCGCGGGGGAGGGGCTCGGGCCTGGCTTCTGCTGGGGCTTCCAGTGAACACATACCTTCTGCAGCTGCAGCTGCTTCTGATTCTCACGTCCCTCCCACGGTAATCTGAAACTAGCTTTCTTTTTTTAAGTTTTTGTTTTAAATATATTTTTATTGATTTCAGAGAGTAAGAGAGAGGGAGAGAGAGAGATAGTAACATCAATGATGAGAGAGAATCATTGATTGGCTGCCTCCTGCACGCCCCTCACTGGGGATGTGTCCGCAGCCTGGGCATGTACCCTTGACCGGAATTGAACCTGGGACCCTTCAGTCCGCAGGCCGATGCTCCATCCACCAAGCCAAACCGGCTAGGGCTGGAAGTGTAACTTTGATCGTTCCCTGCTGGGAAGCTCTCTGTGGCGCCACATAAAATGCAGATTTTAGATCGGCCTCAACCCCCGGCTCGTCCCACCCCATGCCACGTGGCTCCCTCCTCCCGCCCAGCGGCTGCCGCTGTCCCACTGTGAGCAGAGGGGCCGCCTGGCAGAGCTGCCTCCTCCTCCATGTGCTCTGTGTTTAGCTCCCACCTGCCCTGGGCCTTCCCTGAGCTCCCAGCCAGAGCAGTCATGGAGCCCTGGGCCCCGCCTTGACTTACATCCACTTTGTACTGCTGAGAGGTTTCAGCCGGGACCCAGTATTTCCGAGCGCTGTCTAAAGATCGTGTACTGGGAAGTCCTGGCTGTAGGGTGGCTAACCAAGTGCCCAGCTCAGGGCCCCAGCCACGGAGCAGCACCAGGGGCGGAGGGGGAACCGATGGCTGATTGGATCTCCTCCCAGCACACAGCTGGCCGAGCGCCCGGGAGCCCCGCAGTGGGCACGGGCCTCGCTGCCTCGGGGTGACGCCTGTCCCCTCCTCCAGATCCTCGTTCAGATCGTGGATGCCTCTTCGGTGATCACGTGGGATTTTGACGTGTGCAAAGGGGACATTGTGTTCAACATCTACCACTCCAAGCGGTCACCACAGCCACCCAAGAAGGACTCCCTGGGGGCGCACAGCATCACGTCTCCCGGGGGGAACAACGTGCAGCTGATTGACAGGGCCTGGCAGCTGGGCCGGGACTACAGCATGGTGGAGTCGCCGCTGATCTGCAGAGAAGGGGAGAGTGTGCAGGTAAAACGTCGGCAACTCCCTCGGTGGTGTGTCCTGAGGATGAGGCTGTCGCCTCGCTCCCGCCCCGCATGGCTGATGCTGTCTGTCTGTGGGCACAGGTGTGTCCGGCCTAGTCCGATCAGAATGCCTTAGAGCAGAGGCCTCAGGCCTGGTTTTGCACAGAGTCCAGGCCTTACCTCTAAAGGGCGTGAGTGGCTTTGGAAGTGTATTCACAGAGGTGACCCGGGAGGAGGGAAGGCACTGTGTGCACAGCTGGGGTTCAGGGACTCCACCACCGCGCCCTGGCTGCGTTCCATGTGCTTCTGTCACCCTGAAGGAAGGGAGAGAAACGAGTGCTGTGGGGCTGTTAAGTGTCTTACTAGGCTTTCTAGTTTATTTAAAACTAGTGGCCCGGTGCACGGATTCATGCACATTGAAAGGAAATTAATTAGAAGAAATATTTTAATATTGCTGTTTGCCCTTTCTTTATAATAGAAGTGTCAGCGATGAAAGAAAATTAGTAAAATGTATCTATACACATAAAAGGCTACGTGACCAATAGTTGTGCCAATAGTTGGTCTTCAGATATATTCCTTCGACACTGCCGGCTTCTTTCGGCTTCAGAATGTCAACAAAAAAAACCAAATTCATGATCAACAATGACAGATCAAAACACACGCATGCTATTGGCGCCAGCAAGAGCTTTATATGTATCGTGCATGCGCAAGTCAACATTTATTTTTAAATTGCCGGTGCACATTGTATGTGCCACTTGACGGTTAGATGGTCGGATGGATGGATGGACGGATGGACGTTCAGTCACTTAGCCTTTTATATATGTAGGTGCCCCGTCATTTCCTCGGTGAGACTCCGCGACTGCTTTGCGTGCCTGCTCAGAAGGTGTTCTCGGTGCTTCGGGCTCTCAGAGCAGATGCGTGGTTTTGCTGCCATTTGTTTTAGGGATGAGCCTGTCAGGGTCCTGGTGTCTTAGAAGCAGAGTACAAGGAAGTAGCTGCTTCAGTTAAAAAATCATGGGCATTTTAAGCTACATCACAGTCCATTTCCAGAATGAACGGAGGAGGTCATTTTCACAGATTGACTTTTGGTTTGGGATGGTCTTCCTGTTAACACGGAACACATTAGATCAGGGGTCCTCAAACTATGGCCCGCGGGCCACATGCAAATACAAATATTGTATTTGTTCCCATTTTGTTTTTTTACTTCAAAATAAGATATGTGCAGTGTGATAGGAATTTGTTCATAGTTTTTTTTTAAACTATAGTCCAGCCCTCCAACGGTCTGAGGGACAGTGAACTGGCCCCCTGTTTAAAAAGTTTGAGGACCTCTGCATTAGATCATGGAAGCGTGTCCAAGAGCATTGCCTGGTCCACACAACCTTCTTTGACCCCCTCAGGGCCGAGCGAAGGGCCCTCTTGAACGCTTATGTCCCGGCCTTCCTCCCCCTGAGGCTGTGGCAGGTCCTGGGGGCAAACTCAGTGTCACCCTCGGGGCCTTCCCAGCCCCTGGCAAGGCCTGGCTGGCAGCAGCCCCGGTAATGACCCCGAGCAGCAGGTCCTTCCCATCCCGGTGGTCAGTGACCCCGCTGAATCCGGGTGGACGGGGCACTCCCAGGCTCTGGCAGACCCCCTGCGGGTGGGGCCTGGAAGGGAGCCCTCAGCAGCTGGCCCGCCTCGTTCCAGGGCTCCCACGTGACCCGGTGGCCGGGCTTCTACATCCTGCAGTGGAAGTTCCACAGCATGCCCGCGTGCGCCGCCACCAACCTGCCCCGCGTGGACGACGTGCTGGCCTCCCTGCAGGTCTCCTCCCACAAGTGTAAAGTGATGTACTACACCGAGGTGATCGGCTCCGAGGACTTCAGGTACGGCCCCTGGGCAGGGAGCCCAGGGCAGCGGCTCTCTGCAGGCGGAGGTGGCTTCCGGGCCGTTGACCATCGTCAGTTCACGAGGTTGTCTGTGTGCAGGGCAGCGGGGAACCTCATCCTGGGGACCCTGGCGGGAGGAGGGGGCTGCTGAGTGGGAGGCGTGGAGAGCAGGGGGGCACAGGGAGGGTAGCGGGCGGCTCGGGCCTCACGCCTCACCCTCGCTGTGCTGTTTGCAGAGGCTCCATGACCAGCCTGGAGTCCAGCCACAGTGGGTTCTCCCAGCTGAGCGCCGCCACCACCTCCTCCAGCCAGTCCCACTCCAGCTCCATGGCTTCCAGGTAGTGCCGCGCCGCCTCTGCTCGGACAGCCCAGCGCTCCACCAGCGGCCAGTGCTGAGCCTCTCGCCCCACCCTAGGTAGCAGGTAGCTCTCGAGATGGTAAACGTAGTCACTGATCCCGACTCTGGACAGGTAGCTTCACTCTAACTCACCAATAGCCATAGGTTTGTATGCAGCGCGCACAGGATCACCCGGGCACAAGGGCTATCGCGCAGGAGCGCAGTTTATATGCCAGGCAAGAGGTAGACTTTGCCTCCAGTGTCGATGCAAAAAGTGTCTGGACCACCTCCACACTGTCCACACTCCCTCCCACCCTCCTGCGCGGAGCGGCTGCGACTCGCCCCCCCACCGCAGCCCTCACCTCCCTGTTGTCACCGGCCTGTCACGGACTGAGCGGCAGCCTGCGGCCTCCTTAGAACAGACACGGCTTAAGCTGGAAGGACTGAGAGCCACATGGATCCACGGCTCTCCAGTGGGTGCTGGGTCCGGGCTCCTGTGACGCCAGGCACCCGCCATCATTAAACACGATTGTCTCTCTCCTTTCTCACCTTGCTGGCACTCAGAGCAGGGCTTCCTGTGCGGGCACTGGGCTGCGGGCACGCTCCCTCTCCTGGCGCCTTGCCCGTCCTGCCCGCACATGGGTCTGAGCTCATTCCCGACGTAGCTCGCCGGCCCCCACCCGAGCCTCAGAGCAGCAGCGCCCGGCTGCCCCTGGTCACCGGGGGACTCTGAGCAGTCGGTCACTTTGCCATTTTGAAACTGCCCGCTGTTCACTTTTGCCAACCGGCGCGCTCATGGTGTGGCGGCTCCCGGGTACGGGGGGCTGTGGGAGCCCTGGTCTCTGTGGAAGGCAGTGACTCTTGTGGGCATGGCGGTGGGGCGGGCGGGCCCGGCAAGGAGGACTTAGTCCGGTGTCAGGCTTCTCACGGAAGCAAAGCAGCTGTGAGCTTGGCTTGTCTTCCAAGTTTTCTTTTTATTCCCATTTACAACGATGGGTCTGTCTTGCATGGGCCCTCGTTTTCCGCTTTCTACGGGGAAGCAGCTATTTTGGAATCTGTCTGGACGACACGGTCGCCTCACAATGGAGACGAGCTGTGGCGGGCGCGGCCGGGGCGCTGCTGGAGCTGAGCGCCGCTGTGTGACGGCGCACGTCCTGGCTGCGTGGGTTTCAGTCTGCTCCGGAGGCGGGCGTCCGTGGGGATGGGGAGCTTCGTGGCACGTGTGCGGCCCCAGGGGGGCCGGGAAGATGGGGCAGTGCGCAGCCCTCCGGCCTGGTCAGTGAGGCGCTTGGCCCGCCCGCACACTGACGCGGTGCTGGGCTCCCGTGACCGTGGCCCCCCGGAACACGGCTGTGCATCCCTCCAGAAAGGGAAGCTCCTCACGGGCACCCCAAGGCTCCTCCTAGAAAGCACAGCAGGGTCAGTGCTGCTGCCAGTCGGCGCCTCCTGCTTCCAATCATAAGGACCTGAAGGTGGTCCCTTCTCTCTCTCCCTCCCTCCCTCTCTCTCTACCTCCCTCTCTCTCTTTCCCTCTCTCTCTCCCTCCCTCCCTCTCTCCCTACCCCCCTCCATCTCAGATGGCGACTTTGCTGACAGCTGCCAAGAAAACACTCCAGCCACCAGTGCACATCAGCCCAGGGATGTGTAGAGCTGTCTGACTCTCAGCCCCCCACCCCCCCAGTCTGAGGCTGTGTGCTTTTTAAGTTGGTCGGGAGGCGGCGCTGGTTCACCCAGGGAGTTGAATGTGTCTGTGGGGCCGGGGCACGGACAGCCCGCGCTCCTGTGCGCCCGGCGCTCCTTGTGCAGGGTCTCGCCCAGCTCCCTGATGCGCTCCCATCGCCCGTGCCCTGCGCTCCCAGCGCTGCCGTCCCCCTGCCTTCCCCAGCACTAACCACTTGGTTCCACTTTCCTCCCTGAATGCATTATTTGCATATCAACTTCTGTAAATGTTTTGTAAACCTATTACCTCACTCTTGGTAATACAATACTGATAGTCTTTACAAGATTTTTTATTGTTATCGATAATAAATGTGAGCTGTTTAAAGAAAAGTGTCTTTCTCTTACTGTGACGTCTCCTGGAAGAGCCTGTGCTTCTTAAGGGGCTGGAGGCGGAGGAGGCGACACCCGGAGCGAGGCTGCCTGTGCCAGGCTTCACCGGCTCGCAGTGCCCGCGGGCCGAAGGCTGCAGTTTTTCTTCAGCGCACGGCGTGGCCTGACACAGGTGTGGCCCGAGGCGATGTTTCTTTAGCAGAACAGTGGTTCCCCAGGCAGGTGGCTGCAGGCGGAGCCGATGGGCAGGGGGTCTGCAGGGTGGCGGGCTCACGTGGGCAGAGCAGCTCCTGCCTCCCCTGCTGCCAGGACCTCCAGGTGCGGGATGTGTTCTCGAGCAGCAAGCAGGCTGCACTGTCCGCGTGCATGTGTGTGGAGAGGCTTAGGGGTGGTCAGACACACCCCAAGTTCTGAGTTTGACTGTAACAAGCAGGGACAGGAATGCATTCATGCGTCGGATTCTGTAATCCCAGAGTGAGCAGCTCCGCGCAGTGTGCAGATCGGAGGGAAGTGGGTGCCAGTGAGCGGGACGCCGGTTCTGTCTGGGGCCTGTTCTGCCTCCCTGCGATGGCACCGGACAGCGGCAGGGCTTGTCTCCCTCCCGGCACGTCCCGAGCCCGAGTCAGCGTGTGTCCTGCCCCTGGAGGGCGGTTGCCCTGGACGCCGGGCTGGGTGTCCGCAGGCCCAGACGCAGGCGCCCCGCTGCGCTGACTCCCCGCTGCAGGCCTCAGCTCTGCCCTTGACTCGTGGCGTGACCTCGGGGAAGCAGTCGGCCCCTTTAAATCTCAAGAGGTTATTCTCTGGTGGCAGGAGCTGGCGTGCGTGGTGTGTCGGCACCGAGCCTGGAACACGCGTGGCAAGTATCCTATACACGTTAGCCGCCGGGATGAGGCAGGCAGTGACCGCGACTCAAGGCTGAGTCAGGCCCTTCCGATCGCACGCTCGGGGTTCAGCCCTTCCTGCGAGGCGGTCCGGCTGAGCATCCGCCAGGCCCGGAGCCGCTTCGCTTCCTCCTGCAGGCGCAGCCCGGCCGGCGTGGCCATCGCTGTCTGCTGTGCTTCCATCGCTCCACCTTCACGGCCGTGGCGGAGGACAGAACCCCACACCCGGTGCTCAGCCAGGCCGTGCATCCGAGTCCACTGGTCCTGCAGGTGGTCCTGGACGGGCCCTGGTTGGGCACGGGGCCCAGAGCCGGGTGCAGCCACACCGCCCCGGGAGCCAGCTCAGGTGGGCTCCCCAGGCCAGGGGCTCAGGCCACCGTGAGGGTGGTGGTGGTTGAGAGACCAGCTAAAGCACCAAGAACAGTAACAGTCCGCACTCCGGCTGAATCCGTTGCTGAACTCCATTGAGTCATTAAAAGATCAATGAGCCCAGCCCCGTGGTCCAGCACCCCTGCCTTGGGATTTCACAAGGCCCCGCCTTGGGCGCTTCCCCAGGACCCAAGCCAGACCTCGGTCCCCAGCGCATCCGAGCCTCCGGTAGGACTTCAGCAGAGGAGCCGCCCTGAGCCACGGGGCCAGCACGCGCCCACGGGGCTTCTGCCTGTGAGCCGGGCCGGCGTGGCACCGCCCTCCGTGCCCCTGTGGACGAGGACTGCTGCTCACCAGCCCAGCGGCCTTTCTCAGGCCACAGGTTGTCAGACGGTCCTGGGGGGCCCCCACACCTCGCCCTGTGTAACCTCACTGGGAGGGTAGACACTCCTCCCACGGAACTTGTGCTGGGAGCGTCTGCGGGGTTCGCGCTGCGCCCCAGAAAGTCCCGCGGCCTCAAACGACGGCTTCTTCCTGGGAAATGGAGCGAGTCCTCCAGGCTCATTGGAGGGTGCGTCCAGGTGGCGGGTGGGGCGCAGGCTGGTCTACAGGGCCTAGGACGCGAAGAACGCCTGGAACGGGGCCAGAAGCCCCCACAGTGAGCGATGCAGGGCTCAGAGGTCTGGGGAGCGGGGCGCTGTTGGCCAAGGGGGGGCCTCCCACAGTCCAGAATCCTCTGGGCGGCTCCAAGACCTGGGGCCCGCTCTGGCCGTCCAGGTCCCCGGTGGATCTGTGGATCCTGGACGAGGAGAAAGTGACTCCTGGGGTCTCCAGGGCTTGTGCTGAGAGCCCCCGGCCCCCGGCACCACGGAACTTCCAGGCAGCCCCCCACGGAAGGGCCCAGCTCACTCTGGTGGTGGCTGCCCACGTCCTCCCTGGGCTCTGCGCTCGGCCCTTAGTAAAAGTTTAAAAAGCCGTGTTATGAACAACGTCAAACGCACGGAAAAGCAGGAGCAGCGTCAGGAGGGCCGCGGACCATCGTCTTAACCAGCGTGAGCGTGTGCCATGCTGACTTCATCTGGTTTCCCCTAACTTTAAAGTACGTTCCAACTTCGTGACATTCGTGTGCCGTGTTCGGTGCTGCAGCTCCAGCGCCCAGAGGACCGTGGGGCAGTGCGAGCGGGCGAGCGGAGGAGGGCGGACCGTGGGTGTCGGGCCCTGCGGCACCAGGAAGGCTGGCTGTGGGCCTGCGGGACTGCTGGGTGCTCTGGTCTGGGGGTGTGGGGGTGTGGCAGCAGGCGGCTTTGGTGACACAGGATAATTGCTCTCTGGTCCCCTTGCCGCACCCCCCCCAACCCCCCCAGTCCTGCTTGTCACTCTTCCTGCTTCTCTGGAATGGGGAACAGCAAATGGTCACTCCTCCCACTTTTCTGATGGGGACACGCACCCAACATCCATTCCGACGGGCGACAGTGCCACCTGCTGGAGCACCCTGGGGTTTCCGCGGCTTTTTCTGGGGTGACGGGCAACTCCCGACGGAGGAGCAGACTTTGCTGCCCTCTCTGAGTGCCTCGAGCGTCGCATGTGTGAGAACTCGTGTCCAGCCGTCACGCGTGGTTTAGAAAACCCGAGAGGAGACCCGGCTGTCGTGTGACCTCACAGCTCTGCCCGGGTCAGCGTGGGAACACCTCCTCGGGGACACCGGGGGGCGCTGGCGAGGCAGGCGACGAGGGAGATGGGAGCAGGAGGAAAGGGAGATCCAGCGACCTGTGCTTTTCTGTCTTAATCCTTTTCCTTCCCTAAACATAGACAAGGCTTCCCAGCCCAGCTCTGTGCTGGAGAAAGGGGGGCGGAGGGGAGCGGGGGGCACAGCCGGCTCAGACCCTCCGTGCCGAGCCTCAGGTCCTGGGTCCAGAGCTCAGCCCAGGAGAGCTCAGCCGGCCTGGAACTGGGGCCTGGGAGGGTTCAGAGGCAGCGTCTGTGGCGGGCGGTCTCTCTCTCAGCTGGCATCTGGCCAGGCGCAGGCGCTGCTCCCTTGTCACGGGGAGCTGAGGCTCGGAGGGGCCTCAAGGGGCAGTTGCCCGGCACCCACCAGGCCTGTCCTGTGCCCCGACCCTCTCTTCCCTGCTGGGGCCTGTCTGTGGCTCCCCCACACCCCCCTTTAGCTGGGGCCTGTCCGTGGCTCCCCCACACCCCCCTTTAGCTGGGGCCTGTCCGTGTCTCCCCCCACACCCCCCTTTAGCTGGGGCCTGTCTGTGTCTCCCCCCACACCCCCCTTTAGCTGGGGCCTGTCTGTGGCTCCTGGAAGGGGTGACCTGGGTCGCCCTAAGCAGAGGCCCTGTCCCCACCCCCAGACCTCCGGCCTTGCTGCCAGCTCTGCCCAGCTCTCCTGCCCCCAACATGTCCACCAGGGGCCACTCCTCTGGCCGGCGCCCACCGTGCATGGAAGCCTGTAATTTCCTAGGGCTGAGTCACTGCCGGCGGCTGGAGCGGGTCCGCTGCCGTGGGCCCCGGCGGCCTGGAAGGGAGCTGCGGGCTGCACCCTGCAGTTAGCAGCCCAGGGACCTGCTCCCGGGAGCCTTGCCTGCGAATCCTTAAAACAGAGTCCACACAGGAGTAACCACTGTGCCACCCCCGCCCCCACCCGTGGCAGGCTGCGCTGGGCTCCCGCACCCTTTCCCAGAGCTGACTCCTTTCCTGGAGTCTTTACATCCACGATTGCACCCTCTTCACGTGTGTGACCCCCTCAGCGACACAGCGCTGCGTGGGGCTTGCTGTCCCGGCCCTCCTGCCGTCCCCTCTGCCGCCTGACGTCATGTTTCCTAGCTGCCGCGCGGGCCCACGCGGGTTTCACCGTCCCCTTCTGTCTGTTGGTTCCGAAGCCGCAGGGTGCAGCCCTGGGCAGGTGTTAAAGTGCAGATCCGTAACCAGACCTTGTCATCACCAAGTTGGAAGCCCGTCAGGATGCCACCCGCCTTCCACGGAACATAACGCCCCCCAGGCTGTCGCTGCGTTAGAATTCCGGTCCCTCTCTCCGTCACACACGAGGCTAGCTGTTGGCGCAGCCAGTGGTAAGGAGCCAGCCCGCGTTTCTGTGGGCACCCTGGTTCCCAGCCCGCCCCCCCCTCCCGGGCTGGCTTTCTCCGCGCGGTGTTCACCCTTTCGGGGTGAGCCTTTCGGGGATGGCTTGCGCGCGGTGTTCACCCTTTCGGGGTGAGCCTTTCGGGGATGGCTTGTCGGGGGCCACTCTTTCCGGGACTCTGCGCGGCCCAGACGCCGGCACCGCGTGCGCACCCCCCGGGACCGTTCAGCTGGCTGCGCAGGTCTCGGGGGACAGTTGTGTTCCTGTGGCCCTAGAGGCTCCTGCCCCAGACCAGTCTGCTTTGTGGGCGATCGGTCGTCTCGTCTCGGACAGCTTCTCAGCTTTTCTCTCCTCCCTCCGGTGTCGCACGGCGTCGCCATGAGGTGAGTCACACCTCGGTTCTCGGACGGATCCATCGCGAACAATTCGCTTTTCAGCCCGATGTCCCTTTCATTTGTGTCTGCTTCACGTGCTCATCTCTGGCCCTTTCTCGGCCCTCTCCCAGCCCCCGGGCTGTTTTCCGTGTGTCCGGCCGGGTGTATTGTCTGTGGCGCTGCGACTTTCAGGAAGCTCACCTTTCAGTTCCAGGATTTCTCATCGAGTCGTTCTCATGACCACCTGTTTTTGCTTCGTCTAAGCCAGTTTTGCTTTCCTAGGTTTTTATGGTC